GCCTGGAGATCTTGGATTCGTCTTTTGTTGGAGTCAACAACCAGTGTACTGCCTGCCAGCTTTGAATCTCTCAGCCCCCTGCGCTTGCAGAAGCTAAGGCTGCTGCCAGCCCGAAGTTTCCTCCAGGGACTTTGGACTTGTCAGCTTCTATACATTTGTGAGCCATTTTCCTAAGATAAATTTCTCTCTCTCTCTCTCTCTCTATAAATATACATATATGCTTTGCTGGTTTTTGTGTTTCTCTAGAGAACCCAATCTAACACATGTGGGATCACCTTTCTCTGGAATAGGTACAAATATGGATCTCTTCCAGTCAGTTGGCCAAGTAGCAATCTTCCAAATTTCTTGGCATAACCGAGTGAGTGCCTCCAGTGGGGCATCCGTTTGTTGAAATATCTCAATGGGTATTCCATCAATTCCTGGAGACTGTTCTTCACCAATTCCTTCAGTGCAGCTTCAACTTCCTCCTTCAATACCATTGGTTCTAGATCACATGCCACCTCCTGAAATGGATGAAGATCGACCAGTTCTTTTTGATACAGTGACTCTGTGTATTCCTTCCATCTTCTTTACATGTTTCCTGGATCATTCAATATTTTGCCCATAGAATCTCTCAATATTGCAACCTGAGGCTTAAATTTTTTCCTCAGTTCTTGAGAAATGCCGAACCTGTTATTTCCTTTCGGTTTTTTAACTCCAAGTCTTTGCACATTTCATATAGTAATTGGCTTTGTCTCTTGAGCTGCTCTTCAAAATCTTCTGTTCAGCTCTTTTATCTTGTCATTTCTTCCATTGACTTTAGCTACTCTCTGCTCAAGGGCAAGTTTCAGAGTCTCGTCTGTCATCCATTTTGGTCTTCTCTTCCTTTCTCACCTTTGTAGTGATCTCTTGCTTTCTTCATGGAATGTTCTTGATGCCATCCCATAATTCTTCTAGTTTTTGGTCATTGTTGTTCAATGCATCAAATCTATTCTTTAGATAGTCTCTAAATTCAGGAGGGATATATTCAAGATACTTTGGCTCTTGTGGGCTTGTTGTAATTGTCTTTAACTTCAACTTGAAGTTGCATATGAGCAGTTGATGGTCCGTTCCACATCAGCTCCTGGCCTGGTTTTGGCTGAAGATATTGAGCTTTTCCATCACCTCTTGCCACAGATGTAGTCGATCTGATTACTGTGTGTTCCATCTGGTGAAGTCCACGTGTATAGCTGCCGTTTGTGCTGCTGAAAAAAGGTATCTGCAATGAGTAAGTCGTCAGTCGTGCAAAATTCTACCATGTGATTTCCTGCATTGTTTCTGTCACCAAGGCCAAATTTTCCAACTACCGGCAATTCTTCTTAGTTTCCAACTTTTGCACTCCAGTCACCAGTGAAAATTAACACATCCTGATTGCGTATTGGTCAATCTCAGACTACCAAAGTTGATAAAAATCTTCAATTTCCTCATCTTTGGCTTTGGTGGTTGGTCCATAAATTTGAATAGTAGTAGTACTAACTGGTCTTCCTTTTAGGTGTATAGATACTATCCTATCACTGACAGCATTGTCCTTTAGGACAGATCTTGACACATCCTTTGTGATGATGAATGCCAAACCATTCCTCTTCCAATTGTTATTCCCAACATAGTAGATCATATGGTTGTCTGATTCAAAATGGCCAAAACCAGTCCATTTCAGTTCACTAATGCCTAGGATATCAGTCTTTATGCGTTCCATTTCATTTTTGACAACTTCCAATTTTCCTAGATTCAAACTTCATACATTCCATGTTCCGATGATTAATGGATGTTTGCAGCTGTTTCTCCTCAAGTTGTGTCACGTCAGCAAATGGAGGTCTCAAAAGCTTTACCTTATCCTTATCAGTAAGCCTGCTTTTACTCTGATGATGCAGCTCTTTCCCAGTCCTATTTTGAGAGCCTTCTAACCAAAGTGACTCATCCTCCTCCTCTGTATTGGACACTGTTTCCGGACTATTCATAAAGTTGCGCAGTCATGTATCAGACAGTGTTTCTCTGCTACTGATAAGGTTTTCTCTGGCCAATTCTTTGAGAAGTGGATGGCCTCTTCCTTCTTCCTAGTCTGTCTCTGTCTGCAAGCCGCGCTGATACCTGTGCACCATGTGCACCCCACCAGGTTTGAAACACCGGTGGCACAGCCTCAAGACTCACACAGCAACACATAACCACAGTAGGACAAACCAACAGACAAGTGTGTCACCCTTCGCTGGTTCAAAACCTCTCCACCTCTCCTTACCTGGATCCCTGCTGCTGCCTCCTCACTCTGACCTGCCCCCACTGGCCTTTTTCCTCTCCTTTCTCCCACTTTCCCACCTTGCCACTTGTGGGGCATGGCCTGGGTTCCCTGCCCTCCCCTGGGACCCTGCGACATAGCATTCATAAAAGTAAGTCTGAAGGTATAACATACTGACTACTCACCATGCTGCCTGTGGTTGGTGAGGTCGAGCTCCAGAGATGGTTCACAAAGGTTGTCGTCTGAGTTACAGCCTATGGTGAAAACAGAGCTGGTGAGACAGGGGTCCTGGAACATCCACAGGGAAACCCAGCACTTTGCCAGACAGCCAACTCTGAACCGTGTTGGGTACTCGAGCAGAGGCATACCTGGCAAGTGGGGATAAGGATGAGAGTGTGGATGGATGGTGCCTTCAGGACCTGTCTCCCCTTACTTCTGCCAGGTCAGCCCTACCAATCTGATTTAACTTCACATCACACTTCCACCAGTCACGCTGGTCCTGGTCTCTGGTGTTGGAAGCTCTCCTGAGGTTATCTGAGGATGCTAGGTTGGTTCACACTGGTCTTGGTCTCTGGTGTTGGAAGCTCTCCTGAGGTATGAGGACCCTTGGCTGTCTCCTCATATTTAACAACAGTGTACCACACACTCAATGGGACTTCTATGGGCTTCACTTGGCAAGATCTGATTAAGCCACTCTGTTGGGAATCTCTTGGGCTAATCAGATTCCTCAAAGACTATTTTAGTCCTCTAACTAAAATTAGATATAAAGGGACTCAAAGCCCTTACTGATGAAGATCAAAACTACAGCCTTCAGTATAGATTATATCTCAATAAAAAGAAAACAAAAATCCTCACAACTGGACCAATAAGCAGTATTTTGATCAAAGGTGAAAAGACTGAAGTTGTCATGGATTTCACGTTACTTGGATCCACAATGAACGTCCATGGAAGCAGCAGTCACGAAATCAAATGCTGTAGCGCATCAGGCAAATCTGCTGCAAAAGATGTCTTTAAAGTGTTGAAAAGCAATATGCAACCTTGAGGACTAAGTCGTGGTATTTTCAGTCACTTCACACATATGAAACCTGGATAACGAATAAGGAAGACCGAAGAACTGGTGCGTGTGAATTGTAGCGTTGGCAAATACTGAATGTCCCATGGACTGCCAGAAGAAGGAATAAATCTGTCTTGGAAAAAGAACAGCCAAAATACTCCTTGGAAGTGAGGATGGTGAGACTTGGTCTCACGTACTTTGGTCACGTCATCAGGAGGGACTGTCCCTGGAGAGGGACATCATGCTTGGCTAAGTAGAGGGGCATCAAAAGAGGAAGGCCCTCAATGAGAGGGATTGACACAGTGGGTGCAGCAATGGGCTCAAGCGTGGCAAGGACTGTGAGGACGGCGCAGGGTCAGGCAGGGTTTCGCTGTCGCACACAGGGTCACTAGGAGTCGGAACCGACTTGATGGCCTCTAAGAACAAAACTAGAAACCTGGCCACCAGCACTGGCAGACAAGCTGACAGAAAGAGAGAGCTGGGCAGGGGAAGCACGTGAGTTTGCAAAAGTCCAGTGAATCGCCTTGTTTCCACTGCACGTCCTCAACTCTACCTACGGCCCCCAGGTCCAGGACTCTCAGTTTAGCCTCCAGAGAATAGAACTCCAGGCTCCTACCACAGCAGGGAGTGGCAGCCAGTTGGCTCCAGCCCTAACTCTGGTTCTCGGCTGTACCTTCATCTCCCTCTGGAGCTACTGGTACCGCCCCCCTCTGAATGTTGGTGGTGGCGGTGGGCTCTGAAGCTTTCTCCATGCCAGCTGAAGACTAGACCTGTGGATGTTTCATTCATTGCCCAAGTCACCCACTTCGGAAGCAGAGCTGAATGTGTGTCTACGTGATGTCAAAGCCTATCCAATGCTTAATGGCTCTGCTTATCACCTCTTGTCCCTCTGTTTATCACCATTCAGAGCCCTCCTGCCTCTGAAACCCTGGGGTCTTTAGGAAGGACCCTGGCCCCACTTGCTCACCCTCTTGGCTCTGGACGGGGCCCGTGACTCACCCCTGGTGTGGCCTGGGTGCCGAGAGACGGGGGTGGAGGTGGAAGGGGTTGTGATGGCTGAGGCCGCACAGGTCCGGGTGCCCAGCTCTGCAGGCCAGGACATCACAGCTGGGTCGGCGGAGGTGTCCGTGCGGTCCAGGCTGCCTCCGTGCGGGGACCCTCGCTTTGGTTTTGGATCCCCGGAGCCTGGACCAGAGAAGGACATGGAGAAATGAAGCTGCAAGATCCTGTGCCCTGGCTGGACCACCCCCCAAGGTCTCGAAGCAGGTGCAGAAGGGCATACAGACCACAGCACACAAGCTGGACTGCAGTTTAAACAGGAGGGGGCCTGGCTGTGGGCCTCTGCTGGGGGACCCCACAAGGCTGGCCGTGGTGCTAATGATGGAGTCACATTGTAGGTCATGAAAAGCTGAGAGAAAACAAAGGGGAAACTCAAGGAAGCCCAAAATACCATCTACGGGCTCACCTCCCGGAGAATACTGCAACTCAAATCTCTGCTTTAAAAGCTTCTAACACCATTACTGAACATTTTAATAATGGTTCAGTAGAAGACTCCTGATCAAAAGGGGGAAAATGCAGGACAGAATTTCAAATTCTCATGGACTCCACATTTTCTGGAGCCATGGAGGCTGGATGAACCCCCAAAACTACTGCCCTGAGATGACCTTAAATCCTTAAACCAAAAATAACAGACGCTGAAAATCTTTGTGAAACCAAGCAATAGTTTGACTTAACTAGTAGTGTTTGCCTGGAGAGTTGTTCTTTTCTAAGAACTATCTACAGGGGATCCAACTGACAAGGAAAACTCGAAAAGACTGAGAAGGAACCATAGGAGGCAGTGAGCTCATGTTCATGGGGGAGAACAACTCAGAGAAGGCGGGTGAGAATGGCTGGACACCCCGAGGACATCACCAATGTCACTGAGTCACACACACAAACTGTTAAACTGGTGCACACTCCGTTCTGCACATTTTCAGCAACAGCAAAATCTAATCTTAATAAATAAATGCGGGGGGTGGTAGCGTGATGTCAACAAGCCTGCTCAGGGCCCGGTGGACCTGGGGCCGTGGCTGTGCACACCCAGGATGTGCCCTGCCAACCGACTTCCCTTATAACTGGAAAAGGTTTACTGCCAACCTAACAATGTTTTATTTTAAAAAACAAACAAAAAACCCTGCATTGTCAAAGGATGACCCTCACTTCACACCTTGTGCTTTTCTGACTCAAAACTCAACTGCTGTCGAGTCATTTCTGACTCACAGCAACTCTTCCTTGGGTTTCTGAGATGGTATCTCCATGGAAGTAGATTGCCCAGTCTTCCTTCCGAGGAGTGGCTGGTGGGTTTGAACCGCCAGCCTTCTGGTTAGCAGTCAAATGCCTTAGGCACTACACCTTCAGAGCTCCTAGCCTCTACATTTTCTATCATGAACATTCCTGTCAAATGTTAGATAAAATGGTTAGAAAACAACAACAACAACAAAAAGCCCACCTACCCCACAGGAAAGGGAATAGCTCCTCCAAATACCAGATAAAGATGAGCATGGTCCCCATGCCCAACAGCTGACCAAGCCTTTTGCACAATGTCCCATTCCCAGGGTTCCTTGGCCATGGACCCAGAGACCCCTGTGGAGATCCGGGGCTGGGACTTGCTCTTCTGCAGACTGACCGCGTCCGCCTGCTCAGCGCATACAATGTGGGTTCACCGTGCAGCGTCAAGCGCCCAAATCTTGCAATTTTAAATCAAGGGAAAACCTGGCCTTTGAAAGATAACCTTGATGAGAAGCAAGATTCAAGTCTGGTGGAATGAATGGGGACAGGTCATCAGACAGGTGAAGAAGAAAGAGGACCCAACAGAGGGCATGCGGGATGAGCAAGCGGCAGAGACAGTGAAGGAACAGCACAAGGTCCAACAGCAGCTTGGAAGGCAGAGGCCTGGAGGGCAGGCGCCCGGGCACCCCGTGTGGCTCGTTAATCAACGCCAGCATTTCAGCAGTCCCACGTTTATTCTGACAGGGCAGTGGTGTCTACCACCAGCACCAGTGGCCACTGAGCTGACTGACTCACGGAGACCCCTGTGCGTCAGAGTAGAACTGTACTGCACGGGCTTTCACTGGGTGACTTTTCAGAAGCAGACGGCCACGCCTTTCTTGAGGCACCTCCAGGGGCACTCCAACCTCCAACCTCTGGGTCAGCGGCCAAATGGACGTGGGAACCATGTGCACCACCCAGACGCCTTCTTGTTCACAGTACTGATGGAGCTGATGTGGAAACTGTGAGTCTGTTAAAGGGAGAGGTACGTGGAATCACACAGTTAGCATGAGGACACGGCAAGAACCATGCAGATGGTACCAGAAAGGCTGAAGGTGGGAACGAGTGCAGTAACTAAAGGCCTCTGCTGACCAGTGGTGGGTGTGCTGATGCATTTTCTGTCCATACTGCTTCATTTCAGGGTCCAGGAGTCAGAAGACGGCACAGCCACAGAACGTCATTCGGGGCTGGCCTCTGACTCGGCACAAGTACTCCAATTTGTCCAAAGGCTTGAGGAGGGCAACATATTCTCCCAAACACAGAACACAGCTCAAAGGGGCCTCTGGGGCAAAGCCCACGAGTCGTGCTCTGACAGACAGGAGAGAAGGGCAGAGGCTGGCATCTGGGCTGCTTAAGCATCCTCACTTGGCTGAGGCTGCAGTGCAGAAGCAAAGAAGCAGTGAAGGGCAGTCTGCATTACACACGGGCATGGTGGAGTCCGCTCTACACATGGGCACGGCGGAAGCCTGAGTGCAAGCGCGCACACAGCAGCACACAGCCACGCGACTTACTGAGTGCGGACATCCCGGCCCAAGGTGGACACACGTGTGGGTACGTATGTCCCGAGGCTCCCCTAAAACCGGGCCGCACCGAGGAACTGTCCAGAGCACGTGACAACTCATCTTCCATTTTGAACTCAGAATCCATGCTGGCTACTTTGGGCTCGGCTTGCAATTGGGGTTGGGAAAGGGGGTCCACTACCGGTCATGTGGCCTTTAGGTACTGCTTTGTTTGTGGTTTTTTGTTTTTTAAAAATTTCAGAAATGAAGGCGGATACATGATGAAAGTGCATGATACGATACAGGAAAAGGTTAGAAATCTCCGATGGCTGAGAAAGAGAGAGGCTCATGAGGGCAGGATGGGATGTCGGAGGAGGACCAGAACCGCAGGCGTTTAGAGAGAGCTGGGTGGGCCGCTGCACACTTGTCTTTGTCCTTGCTCTTGCTTCTTAAAAAGGGACTCTTTTTGCGCTGAGATGCTAAGTGTCATCGCCCAGATGACCCGTGAGTGGAAAGAAAGAAAAAACAAAACAAATAAATATACAAGAACAAATGAACTAAATGTAAATGTATTCAGGAAGTCGGAATCACATCCAACCCCAGAAAAACTAAAACAATGCCTAACTCTCAGACCCAAAGCAGGGCTCAGTGGGTCAGTTATGGTTCAGTTTAATTAATTCAGTGGCATCTTAAAGGCAACACTTTACTTAGCACATGAGGAGAATACACATTGCCTGGGAGCCGTGGTTCGGGCTCTTTCCATTGCAGTGTGTTAAGTCATTAAATAAGAAAGCTTGTTAACTTAGGACTCTTCTCCTGCTCGTCTCCTTTGATGACGGGGTGGCTAGCAATTCAGCTCGCATGCAATGCCCATTCCTGTTCAGAGCCCTTGCAAACACAGCGGCGTGGTATGCTTCTAGCCCCGTCATCGAAGTCTACCTGAAATACTTACTAATAATGTCAGTATCTCTAAAATAACCTCTCTTGGCAGGATGAGTTTTAAAAAAATGATTGAAATACCTTTTAATCTTCTCAAACTACAAAACCCTCAAACAGCAAGAAGAACCGTATGTCCTGTCAGATCTCCTCCGTGTCTCTCCACCCTTCCCCCCATTTCTCAGCCTTTAAATGAGTGTCTCATCAAACCAGACAACTGATCGATTTTCCTGAACATATCTTAGGTCAAGAGTCTGACTCTTAGAATTAAAGATGATGCCAGAATCTGTTATTTCTTCCCCCACAGCCCCGCCTGGTGGCCAGGACTCATACCACAGTTTAAAAAAAAACAAAAAACCCAAACTCGCTGCCTTGGAGGTTCCAAGCCATAGCTACCCCTCATTGAGTTTCTGAAGCAGTAAATCTTTACAAAAGTAGATTGGTAGACTGCCCACTCTTCCTTCCGAGGAGTGGCCAGTGGGTTTGAACCGCCAGCCTTCTAGTTAGCAGTCAAATGCCTTAGGTATGCCACCAGAGCTCCTTAGTGCTATTTAAAAAAAAAACCAACCAACCAACCAACCAAACCCACTGCCATCGAGTCAATTCTGCCTCATAGCGACCCCCACTGGGTTTCTGAGGTGTGGCTGGTGGGTTTGAACCACCAGCCTTCTGGTTAGCAGTCAGATTCCTTACACACCATGCTACCAGAGCTCCTTACATAGTGTTGTTGTTATGTGCCGTCAAATCGGACCCGACTCATAGCGACCCCTCCTTGGGTTGCCGAGGCAGTATCACTATGGAAGTAGATTGCCTAATCTTCCTTCCAAGGAGTGGCTGGTGGGTTTGAACCGCCAGCCTTCTGGTTAGCAGTCAAGTGCCTTAGGCACTGTGCTACCAGAGCTCCTACACGGTGTTGTTAGGGCCGTCAATTCCGACTGGTAGTGATGTCATGTGACAGAGTAGAACTGCCACAGGGTTTCCTAGGCTGTACTCTTCACGGACATAGACGGTCAGGTCTTCCTCCCGTGGAGCTGCTGAGTGGCTCTGACCTGCCAACCTTCTGGCTCTTCTGCGACCGGGGCTCCTTCACACCACACAAGAAAGGGCCACTTTCTTCAAGGCCGGCCTCCCTGGGGCTCGGCCCAGGGCGAGCTCTGAACAGGAGCTGAGCAGCACATCTCTCGGGTGTCTTAGCCAGAGGCAGTGCACGCAGCAGGTAGGAGCACAGGGGTGCATCCCAATTCTACCATTTCTTCTGTGGGTGAATGTTTAACTTTGTGGAGCCTACTTTCTCAGCCCTCTAACGGTGACAATGGTAAGGCCTGCATGAGATAGCTGAGGAGGGAAAGTAGCCCCAGGTGCCCAGTAAACAGCTGCTGCCATTAACAGTGATCACTGACTGATCATTCAAGGGGCGGATGAGGGGTGGGGGTACCAGAGGAGCAGTTTTCTCTCCAAAGGTCTGCCTAACTCCACTAGGCTTATTATAGATAGCTTTTGGTCATGTGCTAACCCGGTCAGTGGTTTGAAGCCACCAACCTCTCCACAGGAGCGAGATGTTGCAGCCCGTTTCCTAAAAGAGCGTAGTTTGGAAACCCTATGGGGCAGTTCAACTCTGTCCTGTGGGGTCGCTATGACTCAGAATCGACTCAGTGGCAACGAGTTTTTTCAACTAAACTTTTGAAGAATAAAGTTGAGATGATCTGTATCAAAAAATTAAACAATAAATAGCCAATGTGAAGACCTGAGGTGACAGACCCTCTGGACAGAGGCAGATGCTGAGCTTCATCATTCACCTGCACGTGAGCTTTCTACCTCACCTCCTCCCCGACACCCCACAGAGAGAGGGGCTGTGAGCATCTGTCCCCAAACAGTACACGCGAACGTGTACATGGTTCTCCTTTGCGTGTGGAAGCGGCACAACATGTACTTGTAATGGTGACCGTGACCCCCAAAAGGCTCGTCACGTCACACTCAGAAGATGGCTTGGCACTGGCCTAGGGAGCTGGCCGGTGCACAGGGGTCTCAGGCACAGGCCTGGTCTTCAGAAGCCTGGTGTCCTTCAGAAACATGAAATGATGCACAGTGCAGGCCTGGCATAAATTGTCCATAAAGGGGGTTTAAAACTAAATGTGCACATCAATGTTTAGGGTAACATCGTGTTCAATGAATGTTACGACACACCTTTATTCTGATCCTTAATGTCTCTGAAATGAGAGTCAATGGTGTCCTACGGTCACCACTGGCCAGGTGACAGAATACAATTCACCGTGCTCATGTTTCCTTTTTATGAGTACGCACAAAAATCTGTCTAATTAAGGCAGTTAGAAGGGCTCCTTCACGCAGTGAGAGTGCAATAAACAACGCCCCGTGATGAAGCACGGCCTCTGGTTACTGTCAGGGCTCTTCTGGGAGATGCAAACTCCGAGCGCATCTTGTGAGGGGCTGCCTCTCAGGTCCAAAGCAATGCAGCACGATACAATGGAACCATGCTCTTAGCTTAGAACCTCTGGCAACCCCCAAGTGAAAGGAAAAGTGCGTGGGGCGCAGGAAGCCCATCCAGACGAGGCTAGAGAAGAGAGCCTGCCCTGCCCTTCAAGTACTCAGACAGCAGAAGCACACGGGACTCAGAAGACCCTGCACACACAGAGTGCGCTTTCAATGCCCCTGGGCTGCCATGCAGAGACCACTTGCTACACGTGCTGACACCCACAAGGGAACAGGAAGCACAGCCAGGCTTGTACTTGTCTCCCCAGTGCTGCCTGCTTCTCGGCTCTGGAGGGTAAGTACCTACCGCCATCCACACGGTGAGCAATGCTTTATGGCTAAAGTAACGAAACTGTCACAGGGCAAAACTGCCACAGCACTGAAGTGAGTTTCTGTTTTTACCTTGGATAACAACATACCCAAGTGAGAGGCATACACACGCACGCACACACACATATGTATGTACACATACACATATGTATGCGCACACAGCGCACGTACAGCACACACATGCACATACATACATATACACACCACACACGTGTATGTACACACATACACAAATATACATAGCCCTCACCTTCCCACACATGCCTGCACATACACACATATACATATACACAGCCCTCCAAGTTCCTCCACACACATGCACATACACACATATGCTCACACACATATGCACATACACACAGCCCTCCACATTGCCACACACACACGCACATATGCATACACACAGCCCCCCATGTGCTCACACACACATGCATATTACATATACACACAGCCCTCCATGTTCTCATACACACACATGCACATACAGCCTTGTATGTTCCCACAGGTGCATGCACACATACACAACCCTCCAGGTGCTCAGACACACAAACACACATGTACATACAGACCCCTCCACATTCACACACGTATGCATAAACACACAGACCTCCACGTTCACACATGTATGCACAAGCAAATACCCTCCATATTTCCACATATGCATGTGTACACAACATCCTCCATATTCCCACACATACATGAAGTATCTATCCCTCCATGTTCCTGCACACACACACACATACAACTTCCATATCCCCACACATGCACACATACAAACAAATCCTCCATGTTCCCATACACACACACCCCCTTCCATGTTCTTGTACATACACAAGCCCCTCTATGTTCCTCCTGCACATGCATGCACATACACCCTCTGTATTACCACACATATGCACAAATACATTCTGATGTTCCTTGCACCCACATGCAAAAAAACACCGCCCCACGTTACAGCACATATATGCATATACTCTTGTGTTCCCATCCCCCCAGCTCCTGCACACACGTGTAAATACAGATACCCTTCCATATTCCCACACATGCGTATACACTCCAACACACATATGCACACACCTTTCATATTCCCACACACCCTTCCATGTTCCTGCACATACATACACAAATCCCTCCATGATTCTGCACACATGTGCACATACCTTCCATTCCCACACACACACCCCTCCGTATTAACTGCACACTCTCCATGCTTAAACACACACCCCTACATGTGCCCACACACATATGCACTTATCTCAAGTTCCTGCACCTGCACATATATACATACATCCTCTAAGTTCTTGTACACTTATATGTACATACATCCTCCACATTCTTATACATGCTTGTATACGCACACCGTGGTCTCGTACATGCATGTCTATACATGCTCTCCACGTTTCTGTGCACACATGTATACACACACCCTCCATGTTCTTGTATACACACACCTTCAACGTTCCTGTATATGTGTCTACAACACCTGTCACATTCTTGCACACGTGTCTAGCATACCCTCCATGTTCTTGTACACACGTTTCTATATCACCCTCCATGCTCTTGTACACACGTCTAGAACACTCTCCATGTTCCTGTATACACATGTATACACACACCCTCCATGTTCTTGTGCACACATGTATATACACACATCCTCCATATTCTCATGCACACGTGTCTGTAACACTCTCCACGTTCTTGTACACATGTGTATATACACACTCTCCATGTGCACACACACCACCTCATGCTCCTCAGTGAACATATCATTCAGAACAGCCCTTTGTGCCCCACTGCACGGAGGCCCCCCCCTACCTTTTCCCACAGGCCCATTGTGGGCATCTCGCTCTTCTGCAGAGTTTGGCCCCGGGTGGGCGGCCTCCGGGTTCTCTGGCTGCGATCTGAGAGGCTGAGCAGCAGGCGGCGAGGTCGGCTCTCCAGACTCCAGCTGCCAGGGAGGACTGTCTGCAGCCGATTTTAACCGTTCTCTAGAACCCTCTTTCTTTGGCTTGATGAGTTTCACTAAGGCTTTAGCTCCGATCCAGTGGTTTTTCCTAGTTAAAAGAACACACGCACCATCATACACCCTGCAGGTCACTGGGTTCGCTAGCGTGGGGGGGGGTTTCCATTACCAGGCTGGGGAGTCTGGCCGTTTGGTTGGGGTTCAGACACGGTGGCCCTCATCACCATCACTATGACCATCGTACTTGGAGTCTAAGGGAGCATGATTCTGTTAGGCACGAGTCGGGGTGGCAGAGAATGGCCAGACTCTGTCTCACCTACTTTGGTCATGCTGTCAGAAGGGACCATTCCCTGAGAAGGACGTCATGCTTGGTAAAGTGGAGCGTCAGTGAAGTTGAGGCAGGCCCTCAATGAGATGGACTGACTTGGTGGCTGCAGCGATGGGCTCAGGTATAGCAGGAATCATGAGGCTGGCACAGGACCAGGCAGAATTTTGTTCTGTTGTAAGATCACTACGAGTCAGAGACGACTCGATCTCACGTAACTACGAGAACCACAGCGGTTCTGCAGTGTCGAGGGAGAGCCCGAGGGATTTGTGACTTGGAGGCTGAGCTCCCTGGTGAAGGTTTCTGGGCCTGGGATGCCTGGCTGGGCTGATGAGCCTGCAGAGACCGGGCTGGCCCCACAACCCCATGCCCACTGCAGCCTGGAGAAAAGGACGTGCTTAGAGAGCTGCCCTGGGTCCCCTCGAATCCAGAGGAACTCACGTATGACCCAAGGTTGTCGGTCCAGGCATCCCACCCCCGCTCCTACACCAAATAGGAAACGAGCTGCCTACGTCATGGCCAAAGCCTGACAAAGCAGCCCCAACCTCCTTAGTGGCTACAAAGACTCTCTGCTCCCATGAGGGGTCATGGCTGCCCTAAGCCTGGTCATATCAAGGTTACTGGCACTGGTCAGCCCTCCCAAGACAAGCATGAGCACAGAGCATGGGGCTGGAAGGATGTCTCAGTGGTCAGATCTGTGAGGGGACCTCACACAGAAGATGCCACGTACACTGGACAGCACGGGGTGGACACTAGACATGCTCTAGGTGGCTACAGGTCACTGTACTCACATACAAGGAAGCTTCTCTGTTCAGTCAAACTTCACTGAAAACACAAAAACCACGATACATACACACACATACCATGGTCTCTTAAAGAACTATCTAGATGGGTTAAGCCGACAGCAACATCTCGCAAAGAGTTGCTGTTGATAAGTAGCTTGGGGAGAGTGAGTCCGTGTCAATGGTGGGGAACAATTCAGAAAAGCACGGTGAGGACCGTGGCACTATGGAAGTGTACCAGTGTCACTGAAATGTACATGCAAAAACTGCTGAGTTGGCGTACGCTTTGCTGCGTACATGTTCAACACAAAAATAAAATAAATTACTGAAGAAAAAGACAAAACAAGGCACCCAAAGTCGAGTCAACTCACTTCTTTGGAGCAGGATCGTAGAACTTGTACTGATCCATGATTTTCTCTTCCAGCTTTTCCTTATGTCTCCGTAAGGCATTTAATTTGTCTCTGGGAACAGAGGGAGAAGTTAAAATACAAATCATAAAGTCCCCATCCAGTTTTAAATGAAATACGGGAAGGGGCTGCCTCGTCAATTTACTGATGTGACTAACGGGGCCTGCTGTTAGCTTGGGATTCAGACACGACGGTGCTCTTGGCCGTCATGGTCACCGAGTTGGGATGATGTGAATGGGATCATTTACGATGGGCCCTGGAAGCCCTGTCACCTTGCAGAGACATATTTACCAAAGTACCAAAGGTCTAGCTGCGAATGAGCATGTGGAGCCCAACCTCGAACCATCTGAAAACTCAAGCTTGGAAGCCCCAGGAACCTTCCACCAGGTCATTCAGAGCACGGGACACTCTGGGGTCAGACACAGGGCTAGCTCCCGGGGGTGCACGTTAGTAACATGCTGGGGAGGATTCCCTGGGGAGCTAAATGGGCACCAAGGCGGAAAAGGTCGGTTCAGCGGGATGGGAATGTGACAGCACTGGTATACTGCAGGGATCATAACCAGCGTCACGGGATAATTCGTACAGGAATTGTCGACAATAAAATATTTTTCTAAAAAGTCAATGGGTCCTTGGAGAGATCAACAATGGGAGAAAAGAAAGGCAGTATATGCACAGGGCAAGATCTAGGGAGATAGGAGTGCATGGGAGGGAAGGACACAGGGAAGAGGTAGCTATGGGGGGGGGGACGTGGTAAGAGAGCTGTTACATTGTGTGAAACTGCAGTAAATGTCATGAGAAAAAATGAGTATGAACCACTGTATGCAAAATGAATTTGCTCTGTAAACTTTCACCCAAACCATAATTAAAAAAAAAAAAAGTCAGTGGAGAAGGAGTGTTTTATTTTCCAGAATTGTGGGAAATTAAATTTGTAACATTTTTTAATTAAAAAAAAAAAAAAAAAAGTCACTTTAGCCAAGTGAACCTCTGGCTTGGGACCACTCCAACACTGGGTTGCTGATAACTCTCCCATGGGAGCAAACTCAGAAGCTTCCAGGGTCCAGAGAGAGAAGACAATGAGCAAAGTGGGCCTGGGAGAGACATGAGGGAGTGGTGGGGACTGTGGCGAGCTGCAGCAAGTATAGTGCTCGCTCCGACAGATCTCTACCACATGGGAATGCAGGCTGGGGGGATGGGTCCCCCCAGTTTTTCAGAGAAGTCAGAAACCCAGATCATGAAGTAAAACTTCCTGATTTCTACAAGCAGGAAAGCAGTTCACACTTTCGCAAACCAAGGGACAGCCCACAAAGACACCTCCTGAGCTTTTTAGGTGGCAGGTCCTGAAAAGCAAACGAAAACAAGCCACCACCTCCCACCCGTCCATTAACCCAGAGCCATCCCAGGGAAGCTAAGTGCGTGTGAGCTGGTGGATGGTCTTTGCCCTCACCCTCAGGACACCAACAGGCCCAGGAGGCTGCTCTTTACCCAGAATGCCTCGGGTCCCGGTGGGGGGCAGGGGAGGCCAGCGCCTCTGGTGCAGAGGACTTGTGACTGTGCTAAGCCGGGGGGAGGGCTGGGGCCCCTGTGCTGACCGCTCTCAGCCCCCACCGGCCCCCTTACATGTACTGCTTCTGCTCCTCGTGGTACTGCTCCTTATTCTCCATGTTCTGCTCCAGAAGCATCTGGTTCTGCTGGCTCAACAGCTGGATCTGGCTCAAGAGGTGGTGGTTTTCCTCCTCTAAGTTCCCCTTGAGACGAGAGAGCAGCTACAACAGACCAACAAAGCCTCAAACACCATGATTCCACCACTGGGAACCCAGCTGCACATGGATGTGCACCGAGCCTTCACCAGTGAAGACCTGGCAAGGGCTAGGGCAGCCAACCACACAGCAACGGCGAATGCTCTCTGCCACAGCTCTGTCCAACACGGTGGCCACTGGCCACAAGTCTTTGCTGAGCATTTACGGTGTGGGGGTCTGGACTGAGATGTGCTCTAAGTGCAGGACACACACGTATCATACATCTCGTGGAGGAGTTTTTTACTGATTACGTGCTGAAATGGTATTTTAGATAGACTGCTTAAATAAAATATTAATTTCACCTCTTTCTTTCTACATCTTAATTGTGGCTACTAGAACTGTTTTAAATCATGTATGTGGTTTCCATGTATTTCCTCTGGACAGCAGACAGTACGTGTGTCAGGCTCTCCCAGCTAAATGCTTTGGCCTCTGCAACAACTACTAAACGCTGCCGTTGTCACACAAAAGCAGCCAGACAACATGTTTGTGAACAGGCATGAAGGTGTTTCAATAAAACTTTATTAATGGACACTGACAAAGGGATTTCCATCATTTTCACCATTTTCCCATCATTTTCACCTGACACAAGAGTGGTCATTTGACTTTTTCCCCCAATCGTAAAAATCCCTGCTTCCTGAGCTGCACAAAAAGCAAGCGAAGGACTGGACTTGGCTCATGGTCTGTATTTTGCCAACTGTTGCCCTAAAATATTATCATGGTGCAGCAGGAAAAGCAGACTTTGGATTCAAATTTAAACCAAAAAAACTAAACTCACTGCCACCGAATCAATTCTGACTCAGTGACCTCCTTTGAGTTTCCGAGGCAGTCAATTTTTATGGAAGTAGATTGCTCAGTCTTCCTTCCGCAGAGTGGCTGGTAGATTTGAACTGTCAACCGTCTGGTCAGCAGGCAAATGCCTTAGGCACTATGCCACCAGAGCTCCCTTAGATTCAGACAGGCCAGTTCCAATCCACTGCTCTCTGGGAATGAGGCTAGATCACCCAGCTCACAGGTCACTGTGAGGACTGAAAGAGGGAACTGGTCCCACCCAGCGTGATTTCCAGCACAAAAAGGGGACACAGACTCCCAGCTCTCCAGTCCACTGACAGTGATAGCCGCGACCCCACCATTATGGGGAAAAGCAAACGTCTACGTACGCTGCATAGCAACGCACAATTTATATACAAGGAAGAGAATGGAAAATGGGGGACGATGAGTGATTCTTCTTTTCATTAAAAACACTCCTGTTACTGTAGTTACACTGTTTGGGCAATAAACACCATAGTGAAAATACACTTTTTCACTTGAAGTACTTGGAATAAATCAAAGACCCAGAGAGGCAGCTGTCTGAAGAAATAAAAACTGCCATTGGAAAAGGGGTTTTGGCTCAAAGGAAAGGCCCCAGGTGCCAGGGACCACAGCCCTGGGCCCCTCCTCTTGGCCCTGAGCCTGACATCCCCAAGGCCTGGGGAAGCTGTCACAGTGATGACGGGGCAGCTGTTCTTCCACCCCATGAGGCCCTGGCACGCCACACAACAAACAAATCCACTCTCACAACTGGGTGCTCCCAAAAGAGGCAGGGGTGGGAGAGACAGGCCTGCCCCCCTGTTCCTTCCCTGCCTGAGGCACACACGGGGGGCTGCTCCCGCTGGACTTGGAATTTCATTGACCCTCGACTTATCGCCACCGCCATGGCCCCTCACCTCGCGTCCTCTTACATCCTTTGTTCAACCGGACTATCACAAAGTCCCGTCCTGTTTCTGCTCATGTCAACCCTCACGTCATCCCCCGCCCCGAGGAGCCACCCGCCTCTGTGTCTAGAGCACAGCAGGTGCTAGCTTCTCCACACGACCCCCTGCAGCCCCAGCCTGATGTCGTCTCCTCAGAAATCCTGAAGCACCCAGCTGAACAGCTCAGCCTGCTGGGAGCCAATTCCTCAGAGCCCCAGCTCTGGCAGAGCAGACGGCTTTGCCTCAGCCCTGCACCCCCGCCCAGGGCCGGGCCCAGGGGTCTCTCGCTGCAGAAGCAGCCACAGGCCGGCCTGGGGACTGCAGACGAGGCACCTCGGTGCCCTGCACCTCGGTTTCCTCATGTGGGATGCCCCACGGGGACAAAGGGAAAGGTGTCTGAGATTGCTTTTCGAGAAACGAAAGCAACGGTGCAGCGTGTCCTGAGGAACGCTGTGTGTCCAGAAGGCCATCGTGGAGGCTGGGTGGGACCGAGCTGCCGTTCCTACCAGAACCACGTGTCAATCTCACAGGCACGGGGGCTCTGCTCGCTATTTCCTCTGAAGAAAGAGTTCTGCTGCTTAAGAAAATGATTTCAAACCCACTGCACCAGAAACCCAAAAGGCACAGCGCTGCCTGTCTAGAAGCCAAGAACTCTGGGATCCTGAGCCAGACAGCGTCATGCAAGAACGGGGTAAGGGCTTGGACGTCTCTAGACCAGCACCGTTACTGAAATCTGAAAATACGGGGTGTGGACACACCCACGAGGCAGAGCTAAGACAGTGCTCAACGTCCCCACAGCACCTCCCTCCACTCTGCAGAAACCAAACGCCAGCTGAAAATGGCCTCCCTAGCACGCTCCCACCTCCCCTTCCATCCAACAGCACTGCCTCACTGCCACTCGATCTCTGAGCACAAGGCTGCCGCGAGGACCGGAGGCCGCCTGCCGCGCTCACGCCTCACCTCGCAGTGGTTGTCCAGCTTGGTCAGGGAGATGTCCATGCTCTGGTGCTGCTCCTTGAGCTCGTCGAAGCGGGCCTGCCAGCGGTTCAGCTCCAGCTGCGAGTTGTTCAGTGAGGTCTTCAGCTCCTTGGTGTGGGTGTGCAGCTCCTCGTACTCCCCCTTCAGCTGGTGGTGCAGGAAGCTGACCCTGCACGGGGAGCCACGGGGCAAGGGGCTGAGGGTGGCTCCAGAGCGGGGATGGCCTCAGACCTGGGCTCCATTCCAACTCTGCTGGGAACATGCTGTGTGACCTTAGGCAAAACCTAAACCTCTCTGGGCCTCAGTTTCACCATTTGTGAAATGAAGGCATGGTCTTAACTGGCAGTTCTTGAACTGCGTCCTTTAGGGGTCTATGAGGTAGCCTTAGGGCTGCCACATTGGGCCAGGACAGACAAACAAGGCAGGCTCTGGACACAGCTCCAACATAGTATCACTGCTTCTACTGGGTCGGAGCTTATGGCTTTAGCAGCACTGCCTACCTGGGAAAAGGGTCCTGCTGCTGAATTATTTAGTGGAAAACACTGCACTCACGTTTTTGCTCTAAAATTCTGCCCAGGGCCAACTCTTCTTTTTTCCTATTCCAAGCCCCTTTCTAATTTCAATTCATGAGATAAATAAAACATGACATGCCAGAATGTTATGGAAATCCATTGAAATTACCCTCATTCAAGTATTGTCCAACCAGGGTTTCCTGGCAGGAGCTGTATACCAGACAACTCAAGTGGCCAGGGGCTTGTGGACATAGCGTGGGCATGGACACATCTTATTTGGCCTGCACTGCTTGATTTTTTTAAAAATAAATTCACTGCCAACATTTTAAAAGTTGGAAGTTTCATACCAACCCCCAGATGTCCAGCTTGTCTTGAAAAGATAAAACCAGAAGGACGCCCCGGCAGCCTGGGCCTGCCCTCCAGCTGACACCCGGGGCTGGCGCTGACGGCAGCTGCTCTTCTGGGCAGGGAGACTGCTCCCTCTCGCTCCCGTGGTCTCGTGCCAGCACGGTCTCACCTGTGTGCTACCTGCCTGGCCGCGGGACAGTGTCAGCTGGTGACCCCCTGCACACCTTAGCACAGGTGTGGGGGAAAGTTGCACTTCATACGGTTGTATGTTTGGAATGAAATAAGACCTGGATTTAGATGCTGACTGTCATCAACTAGAGACTCGGATCTCTGTTATCCCATTTCTAAGGGCATCCTCATCTGTGAAAGTGGGGTGACGGTAGTATCGCCTTCCCGATACAGCCATGCAGCTGACAGGTGAGTGTGTACCTGTGCCCGACACAACCCTTGTGAACACACAGGTGGGAGTGGAGAAGCACCACAGTTAGACAGTGCATGTCCCCAGGTGCTGCGTGGGTCATTACGTCCCAGCCACCTGACAGTTATCTGTCAACTTACTCCCTATTCAGCTGCTAACATGGCAGAATCTTTAAACACATGCTTGACAGGGACTCACTCACTGGACCGTCTCCT